CCTGCTCCCCTAGACCTGCTCCCCCAGAACCCCACATTGTCCTCCCCTGATTCTCATCCTGGGTACCTAGGTGCTGCAGGAGGCTGCCCCAGTCTGGCTGCACCGGGAGGCAGCACAGGTGCGTGTGGAGCTCTCAGAGCTGGGCCAGCAAGCAGCCGAGCTGGAGAAGCATCTCAGTGCGTCCCAAAAGGAAGGAGGGGAGACTGCACGCAGGACATGGCCACCAGCTCCAGAGACCACGACCCCCAGGGGACAGGTGGGCACCTGGTCATCACGGTACTGGGAGCCGGTACCCAGGGTGGGCGAGGGACCCAGCAATGGACTAGAGCAGAGGCAGCCCCGGCCCTCCTCAGAGGGAAAGCCTGGGCAGCCAGGACGAGGGTAGCATTGGCAGCCCCCCAGGCTTCTTGGCCACCCCACAGTCCTGCCTGTGCCAGGCCTCGTCTGCCCTGCTGCCCCCCAGGGTAGTTCCTCCCCTTGCCATCCCCAGCCCTATGTCCAGCCCCTGTGGGTGCTGCTGGCCCCAGAGAGGCAGGACCCAGGCTCTCTCTCCGTGCTGGTTAGAGTGGAGGTGCACACCAGGGAAGTGGACTGAGTTCTTCCTGCGCAGGACCCTTGGTAGCAGCCCTGCCTCAGGTCGCTGCCACAGGAGGCCGTGCACCTCCCTGGCCAGCCTCACCAGAGCCCAGAAGTGCTGTGCGGCCGTCTGAGCCCGGGGCATAAGGCCATGTGGAGTTCTGACGTGCCAAGCTGGTCCGGGTGGGGTCACAGCGTGGAGCAGGGTGGCGGGGCACATGTGTAGTCTCAGCTGTGCCCCAGAGCACAGGACCTGTGGCATCCACACCTAGAACCAGGTGGATGTAGCTCTTAAGGCATGACGATGCTCAGAGGAGGGCTCCCGGCCAATCAGGGCCAGCCAGTGATGGTGGGAGAGGAGGCACCAAGGAGGAGGAGGGGCCACTGGCAAAGAAGCAGCTGTCCCTGGGGTGGCAGCTCGCTGAGAGTGTACTGGCCCATCCGCAGGCACTGCAGGGTTGGACGGCTCTGACCAGAAACAGCCTGTTGTATGTCCCCGCCTCCAGTGACTCGTTAGTGGCAAAGGAGAATAGTGCCTTCCTGGTGGCCATTGTCTTAAGCACAGGAGCTGAACAAAGGAGCTCCACAAGCAGAGGTCACTGCCCCTGGGACAGACCCATGCAGGAGGGTGTACCCGCCAGGGCCATGCTACAGGTGTCAGGACCGTGCGGACAAACCGGCCGAGAAACGTTCCGACCCAACAACCTGAGGACCGCGGGGTCCCGGTTTGCACCAGGCACAGTGGAGGAGTGGGGATCTGACACTGGCTGGTGGCTGTGCAGCTGCCACATGCCGAGGGGCAGCCTTGGTGAAGTGTAAGGTACAGAGGGGCACCGTGTCTCCAAGCCAGCTAACCCACCTGACTGCTGCCCAGCTGATGCCGACTCGTGGCGTCCTATCGGACAGGGCAGAACTGCCTCTGTGGGCTTCCGAGCCTTGTCCGTCTCCCAAGCAGCCTGTGGTTAGCAGCCCGACCCACAGGTGACCCGTTCCACCACCAGGGCTCCCTCCGGTTACCTAGAGATGATTCCGGGAACTGTGTGTGGGAGCAGGGGTCTCGGTGACACAAATAGGTAGCTGCCGCCTGGTGCATCTGGATGGATGGCATGTGAGGTCCCTGCGACCCTCGACCCTTGAAACTTCTGAATTTGAAGTACTATAAGATAAAAAGCTAAGATACCCACCCCCCATACGCATGCACACACACACACACACACACACACACACGGAGCAGAAAACCCAGTGAAATCTAAGAACTTCCCTGCCTGGCTTCTCCTGCGTGTGCGTGCGTGTGTTAAGGCGTGCACAGGATCCCAGCAGGAGACCAGAGAGAGGCTGAGCCCATCCGTGGTGCCACCTGCTCCGGGACTGTGCACACTTCGGCCACCAGAGGGCAGTGTGTTGCTGTCTTACCCTGTGGTCATGGTTGTGGGCTGCCCGCGCTTTGCTGGACTGCCTGGGACATGAGAGGGTGCAGACCCGCTGCTGGTCCCCACCAACGGCTCCTCCGTGGAAGCACACTCCACCTGGCTGTGTGGGCACCTCACCAAGATGCTGCTCCAGAGGGCTGTGCTGTGCCACACTCCACCGGGCACGGGCGGAGGCAAGGAGCCCTTGCCTAGGTCGTCCAGCCAAGCAGTCCTCTGGGGTAAACAACTTGATGAGATAGGGAACCTCGACCAGAGGGGCTGGCCTCCTGTGACCTAGCCTCTGACCAACACAGCTTGCCCACCTCAGTCTGGCCAGCCCTGAGGGTTCTGCTTGTCAAGGTAAATGTATTGGGAGAAGTTCTGAGCTTCACACTCCTGGATGGCTCTCGGCTGTCCTTTCCCCACAGACCTTCGTCCCCTCTCCTGAATCACAGGCTTGACTGTCCTCCCTGGGTGTCTGCTCATAGTGCTCTGGCCACGACGCTGCCCCCACCTTCGTTCTCCTGCTCCTGCGCGTCCCTCAGGGCGAGCTGCCAGACTCTGGCTAAGGAAAGGCCGCCCGGCTGCCTTTGCCCCAATCTGCCGCCAGCACTGTGGCTGCCCATCTCCATCCCTGCCAGGCTGGACCAGGGCATGTTCCCTTCTAGGAAGGAGCAAGTCACCCCCAGGGGAGGGATGGAGCCCAGGATGGCTGGTCGCCATGAGGGGGACCACGGGGTCCTGGGCTGTGGGGTCTCTGTCCTGTCTTGCTCCTGAGGGCTCAGGCTGGCCTTGTCTCACACACACCTCCCTCACTGTGCCACCCCAGCATGTCCAGGTCCTAGTTCCAGTCCTGGAGGGCACGGGCAGCACACCTGGACACCAAGCAGTACAGGGTGTGCCTGCCTTCCCGGGACTCGGCCTTGGTTCCTCGTGCGGCAGCTGTTGCCACGTGGGAACAATGCCCTTTTCACAGGTGCTGCAAGTTGGGCAGTGCCTCCCGGTGTCCCCTGGGTCTCGCCTGACTCCACGTGTCCCCATACCTCCCTCCTGGGCCTGCTTCTCATGCCCAAGCTCCCTGGGGCTGACCTACCGTGGTGGGGCAGCTGGCCACCGGGGTCAGCGGGAAGGAGGGTGACCAGTGCTATGTGCCGCCCTGCGGTCTCTGGAGAACTGGACACACCTATCGGGGCTCTGTGGGGCGACCCCACCCTTTGGTGCCTATAAGAATTGACTCCCTGGGCAAGGAAGCAGACCAGGCCGGTTGAGGCCCACTGCTCACTGGGATCGACAGAAGCTAAGGGGCCCTGGAGGGGAGGGCCCAGGACCCCACAGGCAGTTCTCCAGCCCCTGGGCAAGCCCCACAGGTATGCCTTTGTGTGTGGACTGCAAAGACTGTCACGAGTGACCACCCACGGGTCGAACGTGGGGTCTGAGTCAGGGCAGGGAGCCGAAGGCTGGGGTCTTCCTGGCCTGCTGGGAGGCGGTGCCAACGGCCCTCCGTGTCGTGTGTGCTGCAGGGCCCTGCAGGTGGAGAGCCCTCGCGGCCCTCGCCAGAACTCCGACTGGGATGGCAGCTGAGCAACGTGTCCAGGCGCATCCTCCGCCTGCAGCAGCGCAAGGAGCAGCCGGTGGAGTCCGCGAATCGGCGGGGACACCCCCCGGGTGAGTGGGTGCAGACTCAGGGTCGGGGGCGGCGGTCTGCCCAGGAGAACAGAGCGGCTCCTTGTGTGGTGAGGCCTTTGTGGGCCCCCTGGCGACCCAGTCCTGGCAGGGAGTGTGAGAAAGCCTGCAGGTCAGTGGGCAGAGGCGCCACCCAACCCCCAAATAAAGGCAGCAGTGTGCTCTGGCCTGGGTCCCGGGGGTCCCCGCCATCCGGGAAACGGCCTTCACACACGGGTGCTGCCAGTTGCCCAGCCCCTAGGCCCGCTCTGCCTTCTGCACAGAAGTTGAGTAGACCCCCACTCACAGCTGCGATGCACCTCTGCAGTGTCAGGCCGGCCGAAGCACAGCCGTGGCCACTGTTGCTCGACTCGCTGCCCCTCCTGTGGCCTCTGCCCCCCCCCCCCCCCCGGGGGCTCCTCCCCCGTAGGTGGGAACTAACACGACGCCCTGCTGTCTCGGGGCCATGCCCGCAGAGACTGTTCTTGAAGGAGAGTCCTCTTCGGAAGGACGAATGTCCGAGTGTATTTCTGAAGAGCTGAGAGCGTCTTGCAGGGGTCAGTGGTGGCGGGTCGTTCTCCGTGCTGACCCTGGTCTTGGCTTCGTCTGACCACTCTCCCGCCCCAGTGAGCCCTGCAGGCATTGAGGGAGGGCTGCCACTGGGGCGGGGGCTGCTCTTGCCCTCAGTCCGGGCTCTGCTGCAGATGGCTGAGTAAAGGGTCAGGAATGACGAGTTCGGCAGAATGGGCCGGCTTCAGGGGGCGTGCGGTGGCATGCAAGGAGCAGGGACACATCTTTCCCATGCCCCACAGACACCGACTGTGTGGCGACCATGTTCAGAGGCTCAGAGCTGAGGCCCTTCTCCAAAGACCATGTTAAACAGCCCTTCTCCTGGGAGCCCTTATCTCAGGGCCTTGTCACCCAGAGTCCACTCCTCCCCCAGAGGGAGGAGGCACCGACACCCTGGGGCCGACACACTGTGTGCAAGCCTGGGCCAGCTGTGGTGTCCTCCTCCCTCCCCCATGAACTGCCACCTCCTGTGCCAGGCCGGGGCAGAGGTGGGCTCCCCTGGCCGCTCAGATCTGTCACCGCCACACCCTCCATCCCCCATCTGGACCTTGGCAGCTCGTGGTGCTCTGCTGCCCAGTCTCTCTCTCATTGCGGCCTCTCCTCCCTCCCTCTCCGCGGCCCCTCCCTCCAGTTGGCCATGCCCCTCCCCGCACGGTGACTTCGTGTAGCCAGCCCTGCCTTTGACCAAGTGCTTCAATGAATCATCCACCCACCCACCCACCCATCCACGTACCTACCTACCCAGCCATCCATCTACACACCCACCCATTCACCCGTCAATCTACTTACCCACCCATCCGTCTACCTGTTCACCAGTCCATTTTTCCTCCCATCCATTCATCCACCTACCCACTCACTTAGCCAATCAGCTGCCTATTCAGTCATTCTCCCACCCCCCTGCTCATCCATCCACCCACCTGCCTACCTGTCTAACCAGTAGTGGAGGCTTCTGCCATGCTTCTGTCACCAGACTCCTATGCCCGCTGGTCTCTCTGCCTGTGCCCTGGCTGCCTCAGGGGTCAGCTCCCTGGGGTCCACAGGGGTCAGCTCATGGCCTTCTCTGAAGGTGTCCTTTGTGCCTGTGTCATGGCCAACTGTGTCAGGCCGGGTTGACTAAAGAAACAAATCCAGAGACACTCGTGTGTAAGAGCTTCATATCCAGGAGTAATTTACATCAGGAAAACATCCCCGTCTGGAACTAGTCCACAGGCCCCTCCTCACACCCTCACAGCCACCACATGCCGTTATGCAGCGCAGGGAGACCCCAGGCCGAGGGGGCAGAGCCGTGTGGCTCGCCAACAGGCAGGTGAAGGCAGAGAGAGCGAGAGAGGACCCCCCCTCCGGAGAGCCATTTATCTTGGGGGCAACTCAAAATTAGGTCATCACGATGCGACCTGCTTGGCAGGCTAAACTCTACCACTGCACTCTCCTATCAAGTCGAGGAGAAACGATGTCACAACCTTCCTGTTACCCACTGTCCGTCTGGCTCTCTCTCCTGGGTCAGCCAGCTTTGGACACGTCTGTCCCCAGAACGCCTCCCCTGCCTGTGGAGCATGGCCACGGGGCAACACCTGGTGTCTGTCATGTGGCCCTCCCTCCACGGGCACCGGTGTCCCCTACAGCCCTGGCACTGGTGCTGGCCCTGCCTGGCTGTTCCCCAATGGGCCTCAGCTCTCTGTGCATGTGCACACCACCTACATGACTGCTCAGACTCACCCATGGAAGGTAGAGACCCCACTGCAGACTGGATCACTGACGTTGAAAAATGTCTCGCAGGCAGCACCATGAACAAAGGGGACACACTGGGAAGGACGCCACCCGAGCTGACAGACAGAGGGCTGAGCCCGCGGGGACATGCCACATGGTGTTGGCCGGGAGCCTAACGGGGGCAGCCGTTTGGGGGACACTTTGCCTGAATCTTCAACACATCCACAACCACAAGACCTCTTCAGGGCTTCGCCCTTCTCAGTGCCAGACATTCTGGGTAGGCACCAGCCCATGGGCACCGTCTGAGGCGCTGGGGTGGAGGTACCCCGACAGCAGAGAAGCAGGCTGGGGGGGTGTGTGGGTGTCTATGTGTGGGTGTGTTAGTCCGGGTAGACTAGAGAACCAAATTCATAGAGACACTCATATGTATGTAAGAAAAAGCTTTATATACGAGAGCAACTGAATATTGAGAAAACATCCTAGCCCAGTTCAGATCAAGTCCATAAGTCTGATATTAGCCCACATATCTGATACCAATCTATAAACTCCTCTTCAGACTCACGAAACACATGCAATGACATTGAATACAGGAAGCTCACAGGCCAGTGGGTGGGAAGTCTTGTGGAGCCAGTGGCCTTGTAAGCATCTCAGCGCTGACAGGGATCTCCACGTGGCTTCTCCAGCTCCCAGGGCTCTTATTGCATCAGGGTAGTAAGGTGGCTTCTCCTCAGGGATGTCTCACAGGGAGTAAGCCGAGAGAGAGTCTCCCACCTCCAAGGAGGAAATACAGGAGTTCCCAGAATCCTCAGAAGGCCATGCCCACACAGAGGCCTCATTGGCTATATCCTGATAGGAAGCCTAGACTCTAGACTCCACCCCTTCACTCATAATCATCTCAAATTGACAACAGATTATATAACTACCACAGTGGGCATGTGTGAGGGGTGAGTGTGTAAGGGTGGGCATATGTGCATGTGACTATATGAGTGTGGATATATGTTAATGTATGGGGATGTGGGCATGTGTGCATGGGAGGGATGTGTGAGTGCCTGTGAAGGGGGAGTGTGCAGGTGCATGTGTTTTAATTTGTGGACATATATGTGTATGTTATATGAGTGTGAGAATTTGTGTGCGTGTGTGTGCATTTGAGGATTTTGGTGAGTGTGTGTATGCGTGCGAGTATGACCATGTGGGTGTGTGTATTTGAGGAAGTGTGTTGAGTGTGTCAGTGTACACTGTGTGTGGTGTGTGTGAGTGAGGGGTGTGGGGGGCATGTGTGTGTGGTGCATGAGAGCGGGGCATGTGAGTGAGCCAGAGGGGGTGTGGGCATGAGAGGATGTCTGAGTGGTGTGTGCATGAGTATGTATGAGAATATGAGTGTGGTAGCGTTTTAGGGTGTGTGAGTGGCAGGCAGGGTGTGTGTGGAGTGTGTGTGAGATTGTGTAGGGACCACAGGTGTGTGAAAGGCTGGGTTTGGGCAGGACCGTCAGGAGGGGCTGGGACTCACAGGTCACACACAAGCACAGGATGCCTGCTTTCTGCTGAGAAGACCACCTCCTGGTCAGATCCCTGTTCTCCACGTAAGCTGGGCTCATGCCCGCAGGTCTGCCTGTGTGTTTGCCGCTGAGCCTATGCCTGGGCTCAGACCCTCAGCAGTGGGGGCTGCCCGAGTGCGCTCTTGTCCTGCCGGGTTCGAGCTGTGAGAACTGCCTGTGCCTGGTGGTGCCGCCCCCGCCTGCCTTCTGGGAACAAGGTGGGAGCGGGCAGGTGACCCTGGAGTGCAGCCCCTCTCCATGCGGTGGACCCCCCACACCCCAGCCCCACGTGTGAGGAGCACGCAGGTCCTGGTTCCTCAGAAATTGGGCTTTTCCAGAAACCAGGGCAGGTCATCCCCACCCCAGACAGGTATAGCTTCTGTGTCTGGTGACCAAAGGGGGCTTATGTGCTCCAAGTGTCCTCCTGGCTCGTCCAGGACAGCAGGAAGGAGGCTAACTGGAGGCAGACACACAGACACAGCCCACTCGGTCTGTACTCCGCCCTGGGGGTTCTCCTTAGGGCGGCCCTGTGAGCCCACCACCGGCTGAGCTGTGGGCTTGCCCTGCAGAAAGCCACCTCTGCCTACTCCCCACAGCAGTCAAAGCCCAGGCCAACCGCAGCATTCCTGAAGGCAGTCTTCTGCCTGGCCTGACCCGGGAGAGGTGCATGAGGTACATTTCTCCATCTTATTGTGCCCGTTCAACTGTGAACTCGGTGGGCAGGGTTCACATCACATTGTGCGTGTGTCTTAGCTGCGGGTGCACTGTCGCCTGCCTTCTCCTCCACCCCCAACCTGCCTCCTGTGTCCCCTCACCAGCTGCAGAGCCTCCATCTGACCCATGATCCTCCTTGACGGGAGTTTCCCCAGGGCTTATTCTGTGTAAACATTGTAGCAATTTTATTCCTGTGTTTATTTACCAACTAGATACAACGAACTTGCCAACTTCACTGGGCACCAGTGTTTCCAGCATGTTCTCAGGACTTTGTAGCTGTCACTTTCAGAACATCTCCGTTACCCCAGAAGTGGGGGCCTGTGCCCGATACCAGCCACCCTTCTGCCCCAGCCTGTCTCTTCTCTGTGGATGGAGCCGCGTGGCCTGGACTGTGTGTCCCCGAAGCCAAGTCCCACAGTCTGTGCCTGCCGTCTGTGCCCGGGTTCTGTCCAAGATGGACATTTAGATGATCCCTAC